CTCCTTCCTACCCTCCTCCCCACCCTCCTCCCCACCCTTCTATCTCGTCCTCCTTGAGGGGCTGCTTCTTTTGGGGCGCGCTCCTCCCCCGTGGGGCACATCTTGAGACTGGCTTGGGCCCCCAGGGGCTCCTCACTTCATGAGCCTGCCTGGAGGCTCTTGCCACCATCCTCCCTGTCGGTTCCAGGCGCCTGGCCCCAGGCACGGGTTACTGTGTGGCAGTGACACACCCCACTTTAATTTGCCCCAACAACGCACCGCGAGGCCCCCTGAACCTCCGTTCTTGACCTCTGAAATGGAGGTGCTCTCCTTCCTGCCCCCCAACGCCACCGGGAGCACCTCCCGCCAGCGCATGGGCCCTGACGGACCAAGCTGGGCCTGAACAGGGTGGGCGAGCAAAGGCAGGGGGTGGGCCGCCGACAGGGTCTCCCTGTGGGGGACACACGTGGACCTGGAAGTTGCTCGGAGCCCAGAGGCAGAAATGTCACAGAAGCTCTGGGGTTTGTGTCTTTCCTGCTGGTGGCGTCAGACAGCGCCTGAGGGGCCTCAGGTCCCAGGAGCCCTCTGAGCCGCCCAGCTGCGGCCCAGGGCTCCCGTCAGCGGGGGAAGCAGACGCAGCCGCCATGGGGAGCCTCCGCGCCAGGGGCAGCGAGGAGCCAGGGGCCCCAGGGAGGCTGGGTGCCCCGGTAGGGAGGGCAGCCCCCAGCCTGGCGCCTCCGTGCCTGCGCTGGGAGGTGCCGCCCAGCGGCCAGGGCAGGCGGCCGGGCGGAAGGTGACCGCGAGGAGGAAGCCCTGCCTTCCCGGCCGGGGCGGCCGCAGGATGCGACCCGCTCTTTCCGCCTCCCACCGGCGAGGACAGTGGCCGCTGCGCGTGCCCACAGCTGGCCGCGGCCCCAGCACGCTCCCCGCGTTGTGCCACTCGGTCCTCACCCCGCCTGGAGGCCCGAGCGGGGGTCTTTTCCTGGCCGCAGCGCCCAGCGCCAGCCCCAGTCCCGTGGGGGGCGTCTGCCCACTGGGGGGGCGTCTGCCCTCCGTGCCTCGGGATCCCACGGAGACTTGGCGCCCGCTGGCAGAGCGGGCTCCTGGGTGCTGGATGCCCTGGGTCCCCCCACTTACCGTGACTGTGGCCCGGCACAGCCAGACCCCCTCTTCGGCTGTGGGCCCCAGGGCTCAGCCCCCACTCCTACTTTAAGAAATGCATGATCATCTTGTGCCCTCTTTGAAGAGAGGAAGAGAGAGCCCCTGCCATTACCCAGCGCCCTCGTCCGCCCTGAGTATTCTACGATGTTTCTGTCAGTCTTTGCTGCTGTTTTGTCTCTGTTTTTTGCTGTGCATGACTGTCCTCGGTCCAGGGAGCGTCCCTGCAGTCCCCAGGCTTGTCCCTGCCCTGAGCCAGCCCACGCAGGCTCAGACCTTTCTCCTCCATCTCTTGCTGTGTGACCGCGGGTACATTCCTTTCCCTCTCTGTTCCCACATTCTTCTGCGTCGAATGAGGATGACAGTGGTAGCAGTTCCACGGGGCGCTGGTGGGGAGAATGGTTCCTCTAGGAAAGCACTTGGAACAGGACCAGAGCACAGGATGTGAGTGTTTGGTGTGACCGGCGCTGGGACGCGACCCCCCTGGGGGTCAGTCTTAGGGTGACACCTGCGTAGGGTGAGGGTGATGGAAGTAGGGGCAGCCTCGGGTGAGGCAGAGAGTGGGCAGCTGCGCTCCAAAACCCCATCAGGGCTTTTCCAGGTGGGAAGGGAGGGCAGGCTGTTCTGAGAGTCAGCCCAGGACGGGCGAGGCGGTGCCTGGCAGCATCGCTTGCCCGACCCGTGTGTGGTTTGGAGCAGCCCGATCAGGACCCACCTGCCAACCGCTAGAGAGAGCCGACGGTCAGTGACCAAGCTCCGCTGCGGGGCGGAGGCGACCTGGCCTCACAGCGGGGACGTGGCGTTGGTGGGGAGGGCTGGGCTGGAGGCCCGTGTCGCGGCCCTGATCGACCCGGCCCCTGGATGAGGCCTGGGAGGCCCCTCGTCCTTCCTGTCACCCTTTAGGTTAATCCTCCCACACACGGGCCAGCGTGTGGACGCACGTCCTCGCTCCCCAGGGCGCCCGCTCTCCCACGCTCTGTCCTCAGCCCCCACCCCTCCTCTGAGGGGTGATGTCCGCGTCGAGGGGCGTTCCGGCTTGGTGCCCTGCCTTAGGAAGTTGCGCTGCTTCCTGGGAGCCTGGGGCATCACGGGACATCCAGCGCTGTCACCCACGCAGGGGCCCTTTGCCCAGCAGACACTGACCCACGGCTGTCCCACGAACACTTTCCACCCAGACACACACCTGTTTCGTCTCCTCCCGAGCTCCCGGGGGCGCCGGGTTCGCAGGTATGAGGCCTGCTACAGACGCTCAGTCCCCACACGGCGGTCCTGGCCACCTCACCTTGCCGAGCAAAGAGGGGACACCGATGGTGGCGGGACCAGATGACCCGCACCCTCTGAGCCCCTGCCCTCTGCAGCGGGCAGGGCACCGCCAGCCGTTCTCCTTCACCCCGACTCCACACGTCCACGAGGAAGCCGCATCTCTGCTGGGAACCGCCAGGCCGGCACCCTGCTGGTCACCGTGGTCCGTGGCGGCCACGGAGGCCCAGCCTGGCCCGAGCCTTCTCCCATCGGGCCTTCTTACCGCCTCCTCGGTGCTGTCTCTCTTTCTCGCCCCTTCTTTTCGGGTTCCTCTGGGTCCAGAGTTGGGGGGGCGTGTCTGGGCACCCACATGGAAAACCTGGTCCTGGGCGTGGGAGCCTGAGCCCAGCTCACCAGAGACCCCTTTTCTTCCAGCCCGAGGGGAGGGCGGTGGGCCCCCCGCCCGCCGCAGGGAAGATGCAGTTCTTTGGCCGCCTGGTCAACACCCTCAGCACCGTGTCCAACCTGTTCTCCAGCCCATTCCGGGTGAAGGAGGTGTCCGTGGCCGACTACCCAGTGACCGACCGGGTTCAGGAGGAGGGGCAGCTGCTTCTGTTCCAGAACAGGCCCAACCGGACCTGGGACTGCGTCCTTGTCAACCCCAGGAACGCGCAGAGTGGCTTCCGGTGGGTCCTCACTGTTTCCTTGCCACGCGGGGGCC